GAGCGTGGCGCCGGGAGTACGCCTTCTTCCTGGGCAGGGCCCTGCGGGAAGGTAGGTCTCTGCTTTGGGGGCTCCTTTTATTTTTTTAATTCCCCCCCCCACTAGTTTTGGTCGATTTTGTCCATCGCTCCCGCTGCTGGAGGCTCACTCACCATTTTAAACCCAGACCTTCTGTTTAAAGACTTGATCCGAAGTGTGTTCAGTATAATCTGGACTTTTTTTTTTTTTTTTTGCCTCCCTTCCACGCTTGGATTTTGTTCAGGTTTTTTTGCTCTGTTCTGGCTTATGCCAGAGAAAGTTGAGAGAGTCCGGATCTGGTGGGGTTCATGGCACCTCAGTAACTCAGAAATCTCCAGCAGTTAGTTGTAAAATAAGGTTTATTTAACCTGTCGGTTTTTACCTGCTAGCCTCTTAACTCCATCAATGTGTATCAGTCCTCCCAAGGTAGCAAAGGTGAGCACCGCCGTTATAAAGCCAAACCTTTCTGCTTTCCTAGGGAGGGAGGCAGGGATGCCATTTGGGAATGCCGTTCGTTTAAGAGTCCGCTTCGTAAAGCCATTGATTACAGATGTGTGCATGTGCTTTTTGCGTCGTGGAGAATTAAGTGTACGGTTTGAGGTCTGTTTCTCTGAAATACCTATTAAAATAAAATTCAGCTCAATCCAGCTGGTGCTTCAGCTAAAATACTTGGAACTGGGGTTTACAAGCGATCCTAAAGCAAGTGTCATTTATTTATGGGGTTTAGTAGGTCTTTGGGCATGAACAGGATGGTTCTGTGAATTGTTTTCATTAGTCTCTGCTTTGGTGGATAGGCAGGATTTCTCTTCCTTCTGTGGGGGATCATTATGTTCAAACTTTGAAGTCTAATCTAAATAAATCTTGGTGAAAATAACCATGAATATACTTGTGTTTCGGAGCTTCTGCCCAACGTGTGCTTAAGTTTTGTGGTACCTCTTAATACAGCCCATTATCGGAACGCACAGGATCAAAACTTTTTGTAAATCACGGTTAGATAATAGGGTGTTGATAAGGTGGCGTGGTTCTTTCTGAGCCTGTAATGATACTTTATGGTTTGAGCTGCCTAATACGGTTCTTGTGTAGAATGCTGCGTGCTGCTGTGCAGCTGAGCTAGCTGCTTCGAGCTGTTAAGTCATATAATCCTGCAAGGTTACACGTTGACTAATAAAACGTAATATAAATGTCCTGAAATGGATTGTGCAGGAGCTATTTCTTCCTCAGCCTCTTTCTGCTTATTCTTACTTTTTTTTTTTTTAAATTCTCCCTCCGTAGTTCTGTGAATTCAGTGGTGGTGAGAGGTCTGGCGGTTTGGCACTTGAAATTGGTTTTTTTTTCTGTTTGTTGTACAGCCAGAGTTGAGCTCGAGCATCTACTTTCTGCCCAGATATTTCAACTCTTTATCCCATTACACTTAACGGGTCACTTGCGGTAGCAGTAGCCTTTGTCACTTTGCTTATCTTATCAACGTAGTTTTATATTACAGTTAACTGCCTGCTAGAAATGGGCCAGGTACAGTTATTTTTACGTGGGTTTCCTCCAGAGCCATCAGCCGGTAGTGGTGAACTACCACCCTCGCAGAGGGGCTGCTCACCTGGGCGTGTTTGTGGGCAGTCTTCTTCAGTTCCCATCATATGCTCATCGCTAAAATTGCAAATACTGTGAAACAAGCTCAGTACTGAGGCTCTTCTCAGCTGTGTGGCACGGAGGTAGGTTTTCAAAATTGTGCGCAGAACTCATCTTCTCTGGCTTAGCGCTACCACACCGGTCCGTTTAGTCTGAGGATTTAGTGCTTTATCAGCTTAAAATCGTGACAGTGATAAAACACTGACTGCAACATTGAGTAGTTCTTACAGTTCTTCTGACACTCTGTTGCGCTTTAAAACTTAGTTGACAGTCTGATTTCTCACTGGTTTCCTGTAGGTTTTAACAGTGAAGGGAAATACGGTGCAAGCATCTATACAAAGTGTTCTTTTAAATGAAGAATACAAGGAAAAAAGGCTCTGTTCCCCAAGCTAGTTCCTTGTTGTGATACTTGAGCAATAACAGTAAAGAGCTTAAAGTGGTACACGGCACTTTCAAGACGTGCATTTTAAAAAAAATATTTTGGTCTTGTGTATGGGTGTGGATAGATAATTTTTTACTTTCCGCAGGCTGAACACCCTCAAAATGGGAGGGGGGTGTGCTCTGGGTTTGAAATAAAGTGGGATATGGTTGTATCTGGGGTGGCATGAGATCAGCATGTGCAAACTCTGTGCGGCGTGTGCAGATTATTGTGGATTTTTTCAGACTTGTCTCACTCAACCACTTACGTAGCTGACAGCAGGGTGCAAATGTACAAAGAAATAGCCGTCTTTTTGTGCAGACTTCCCAAGTTCGTGTAACAGCTGGTTTTAGTGGCTCTGAATTTCCAGGTGCAAGCCTCTAAAACGAGTATCCTGTTGGGTGGATGGATGGGTGCTCGTCTTGGAGGGACTGCAGCCCACGAAAATCAGGCTGGAGAACGGGTGCGATGTGTGAGCTGTCCTGACAGATCTAGACTAGGTTCACAGCTGACTGCTGGGCTGACCAGGGAAGTACTTGGCAAACGCTCTTCTCTTAACCTGGACCAAGTTTTAAGCACACGAAAGGATCTATGGATGTAGAATTGAAAAATACCAGTAGGTGGATGTAAAACTGGTGGCCTGATTCTCCCATTTCTCTGTGATGCTGCTAGAAAGTAGCAACAGTAATTTTTTTTTTTTTTTTTTTTTTAACCCTCAACTCTTGAGAAGTCCCTTTTGACCAGCGATACGTAAAGGGCAGTCACAGTCACAACATTTTCTCTGTGATTCAGGTGTGTGTCCAAATACTGGCTTGATAAAAATGCATTAAGAGAAATAGCTGGGGGTTAGTTGGTGTAATCGTGTTGTAGTCCATCAAGAAATGGCTCCTGAAGAAATAAGGGTTCTTGTCCTGCCCACCACGTGAAACAAGTTGTTGAAACAAGAAAAAAAAAAAAAAGCTTCTTAGTACAAACCTCCTTGGGTCACGCCTAGTTACTATAATCCATCCTTGCAGCAGGATTTGTGTGTTATGTATCAACAAGCAGAATATACCTTTCTGCTCTAAACGCACACCAAAAACTGCTGGGTGTTTCGAGGTACCATTAATCACGTGCAGGGATTTAGGACTTCTAAAATATTTTCTCTTTTGCTGCGTTATCTGTATTTGCTATCTTGTCTATGTCAGTGATGCCTCTTTAAATGTGCATTGAATGGTGGCACAAGTATCAGTGGCTGTTTTCTTAAATATTTACATCCTGTAAGGCTGACATTGACTGATCCTTCCCCTTCCATTCATGCTGTGGATTACTCCCCCGTCCTCCTGCTGTAAAGGTACAGGTATTGGTAAGTTGGAGAAGCCTGAAAATTAAGAACCGGACCTGTGAGACGTATGTGGGTGCTACGTCTTGAATGGTTTTTTGAACTAAATAGAAATAAGGGAAGGTTATGGGAGTAGTTCTGGTTTGCACGCCAGAATCCCAGACGCCTCCTAGGATGCCAGGCTGTGTCTGGGGGGGAGCAGGACTCGCCTGGGGTGCCAGGAGAGGGGGAAGGGGGGGTCCTCTCCTCGCCACCCGCCGAGGCGAGCTTGCCATTTGCGGAGCATGCGATGGCTCTCGGCAGTCTCGACTGACAAACAGCTCAGCTCGATGAAGCAAACTCTCTGTGTCTGCAGCGAGGTACAAGTCTCAAGTGGGAATAAGAGAGCAGGGATGTTTTTGTTGTGCTTTGGAGTGATGGACACTTCTCAGCTATTTATGTGACACTACTGGACTTGTTCTGCATATCATTTTTTCCCGGCTCCTCTCTTGCTCTGCTATTCTTCAGACAAAATAGCTAGTAAATATGTAGTCTGTGTTTTTTGACTAGCTTGCTAAAATCAGTCCCAAAGCCCTTGCGTGTGTAAGCATGACCTTTGAAATATTTCCAAAAAAAAAAAAACCAAAACCCCAACCAACCAACCCCTCAGTGGTTTGCCTTTACGCCACTGTGTAAAAGTTGTGCTCCCTATCGGAGCGCTCGTTTGTCCATCGACTCGGTCTATCGAACGCTTACCCTTCAAAGCCCTAAAAAAAGCTAGGAAAAGCTTATCTTCCGCGAGTATGACTTGCCAGTGCATTCCGTAGCAGCTGACCTCTTCAGAGACTGCTTTCCGTATTAAATATGCAGCTCTTGAAATTAGTCTTAATTTAAATGCAGCGTTTCCTTTTTTGTGTCTGTCTCCGCATCGGTCCTTTGTTGCTGAGGGCGATCCGGAATGCGGTCTTACGGTTTGCTTCCGTTTTATTTAATAATAGCTGGCAGTGAGCGAAAAGCGCTTTGGACGTGGTTATCAGGCACTCTGTTTCTCAAAGAGAAGAGAAACTGAGACGCGGAGCCGAAGCGACCCGTGCAAAGTCCCCCACCCCAGCCAGGAGCGGAGCGAAGTGCTCCGCCAGTATGCGATCCCATCTGTAGGAAAGGGAGAAGCAGGCAACGTTAACGCGAATATTAAAAAGCGTTTAATGCAAAGATCGAGCAGTTTAATCACTTACATTTCTGAAACAGCCTGTCTAAAGAAATATTTGGAGTTTTTACAGCGTTACGCTGCTAACAGTAGAAACAAAACCGAAAACTAGCTATATGCTTTTGAATGAAACAGCTTTCCGTGTCCCTAGAGTGTGTTCTTGATTTATTAATTAGTGTGTTGCTTATGCATATGGCTGTACTGACCCTTGTAAATGTGTGAAAATATATTTACGTGACTCACAGGGTTTCTTGGTTGGGGGGGGTGGTTTTTGAGAAAGGCAACGATAGATTATTCTTTCTGGAAGTTGTTTAGTACTGGAGATGACACGTAATTAGATACGAGTGTAAGATGTAGTTGGAATTGCCAAGACTCTCCAACCTTCTGCCACTTCTGTATTTCGCTTGGACCTTTAGTTTCTCATAGAGCGAAGGGACATAAAATCAGTTAGAGCCGTATGTGTTGTTCTCGGGATTTATAGCTCCACTATGTAAAATATTAGAGGGTAAAAAAAGTAAATGTATTGATACTGAGCCAGATTTTTTTCTGAGCTATGCAAGCAGCCTTAAGCTGTCTCTGAACACAGAGCAGCTTTGATTTAAAACAAAACAAAAACAAAACAACAAAACCCCACACAACAACAACCAACCAACAAAAATTTCCTGTCTCTCCTCCCCTGCTCCTTTCCTTTTGCGGGGGTAGGGGTGACGCGGGGTCTGCCATACATACAGAGTGGCCAGCAGAAAGAGGACGTTAGCTGTGCTCATCCTTGTGGGAGTTAACACAGACAGAGCCCAGCTCGAGGAGAGTTTAAAGGTGGCTTTAAACTGCTAATTTACTGCATCGCTTTGAACTTGGGGGCAGCGATTTAACAAGATGCTTGAGCG